AAAAATGAATAAAATGACATACTAAATAGAACTCGAGTAGGATCTATGAACGCTGGTATGAAGTGGATAAAGGGATGACTTGGCAATCAGGGAATTTACATGCCTGGGGAGCAAATACCAGTCCACATTTGGTGCAGGCTGATAACGGGAAGACAAGCCTCAGATTAAACAAATGTGAATGAATCTCTCTGCCTGCAGATAGAGCAAATATATCAGTAGAAGCAAGTATACAGCAAGCAATGAAATGCAACAGACCAGGCAGACAATTCGGGCAGACAAACAATATTTCAGGAAATACAGGTAAGAGGCACGTGGCGAAAAATAACTTTGACAGAGTTCCAAAGTCATGTTCATGGCTGAAGTAGAAACAAATATTTCACTGGGTGTCAGTGCAAGAGGGGGAGTGGGCGGCGCTGAGGGGGCTGTCTGAATGTAGCGAAAAGGGGTGTGTTCGTGTGCTGAGGGGCCAGGTAGACAGCGTTGTGGCCCCTCCGTCTTTGAAGGTCTGTTTCTTGCCGTCTTCCTCCTCCAGAGCTGATGGCCCTGGTGATTGGCCTAACCTCAGGGGGCGACCAGTGGCTGGGTCCTGCCTCGTGCCTGAGCCTGGCCCTCTAGAATCCACCCATCTCTGGAGCTGGGAAACAGGAGCCCACCCCCATCCACAGAGCCCTCACCCATCCAGCCAACCTCCTTGAGGACAGTTCCCCGACTTCCCCCAGGACCTCCTGACCTTGGGTACTGCCCTTTAGCACAGGGTAGTTGTCTGCTGAGGGTTCCCTGCTGAGTGCAGGACCAGCTTCCTACCATTTACAGAGCACCTGTGAAATAAATGACTGTCACATGCAGCTGGGGACTTATTGGCCAGCCTTGTTTCCACAGGCATGCACAGGTGGGTTCTCCCAGTGGACCTGGGGCACCCATCCTACCACAGTCTGCAGGTGAGTGGGCCACCCAGGCAAACCCTGTGCTCTTGCATCTCATGCCCTCTCTCTGCAGCCCTGCACCTGGCAGCCCCTGCCACCTTTGCCTCTGCCAGGCCATAGGCTTCCTTGAAGCAAATGTTGTAACTTTGAGCTCTTGCCTGTGTTTTTTTTTTTTGTTTTTTTTTTTTTTAAGATAACAGCTTTATTGAGATACAATTCACATACCATACAATTCTCCCACTTCAAGGGCACAACTAAATGGTTTTTAGTTTATTCACAAGGTGGAGCAAACATCACCAGTGTCTAGTTTCAGAGCACGCCCAGACCCACAGAAACTCCAAGGACATTAGCAGTCACTCCCCATGCCTCCCATTCCTCACCTGTGGTACCCACCAGTCTACCCTAAGAGTTTGCCTCCATGAGATTTCTGTCTCTATTGGTTTCCCTATTCTGAACATTTCATACAAATGCAATCAGACAACATGCATATTTTGTGTCTGGCTTCTTTCATTTAACATAATCTCTTCTAAGTTCATCCAAGTCATAGCACATACTGGCATTTCATTTCTTCCTCGTGGCTAAGTAGTATTGCATCATATGGATGGACTGTGTTTATCCATCCACCCATCGCTGGACCTTTGTGTTGTCTGCACACTTCGGTGACTGTGAACCGTGCTACCAGGAGCCAGGACTGTATAGCTGCTTGCTGTTGGCATGGGGAATGGGGCTTGGTAGCTGTTCCCATAAAGATAGAAATTGACCAGCCTCTTCACAAAACTGTTCCCTTGACAAGTCTAATTCCCTACTAGATTCCAGTGCTCCAAAATCATTGCTTAGAACAGTTCCTCTCAGTTCAGGAACTCAGTGTCGTACAGTGGAGGGATGGGAAAGGTTTACTGTAAGATGTGAGGTGAGGGAGTCAGTGTGACCCTCCCACGCACATATGACAGGTCTGAGAATACCTGAGGGCTGTGCTGGGCAGCTGTGGTGCTGGAGCCAGGCTGGGCTCCCATAGGCCACTGCATGACAATGGCCACTGTGCCTGTGAGTTTTGCTTTGGCCTTGCCGTGACCTTTCCAGGTGTATTTTGGCCTAGACTCTGCTCTTTTGTTTTCTGAGCCAGAATAGGGATGGAGAAGTCTGAGCCCTTATTTGTTGTTTGTCATGAATGCGAGAGGACAGGTGATATGGGGGTAAGCCAGTGAGCTGGCTATCACATACACAATCATTTTACCAAAAGTGTGTGTGACATGGAGGGCTTCTCCACCATCAGTGCAGTGAGAGTGGCACAGTTGCCCCCAGTGTGAGTGCATTAGAGGGCAGATCCCAGGGCAGGGGCAAATAAGATTACCAGGCTTATCTAGAAAACAGGCTGTCACAGTATTGGCCCTTGGTGGGGCAGGTCAGAGTGAGCTCTTCCCACCTTCTGAAGCATGCTGCCAGCATCGACAGAGATGTGTGCACCTGCCTCAGTAGTGCTGTTCCTCCCAGCACACAGGGCCTGGGTATAGGCTGAGGGATAGGGACCTGGGGTCCAATTCTGCTACCCAGGTGCAGATGCTCTGGGGAGGAATGCAGCCCAGGCCAGCTTCATGTGCCCACCACAGGAGAGGACACATCAAATTGGTGTCTTCGTGGAGAGCAGGAGCAGAGCCACTGGGAAGGCAATGAGTCTTGGCCTCAGTCCTCCTGCAGAGGGTCTAGACCGTCTAGCTCAGGCCCCTGGGTGCTGGGTGAGGGCCAGGTGTGGTCCAGGGTGACTCAGGGGCCAGAATAGGGCGTAGGGAATAAGTCTGTAAGTCACAGTCACCAGCCTAGAGCCTGGGGCCAAACTTCCCACATCAACTCCCACATCAATTTCTTCCTTCATTCACTGAATACACATCAAGGTAGCAGTGTGGCTGGAACACAGCCATCAAAGTCACCAGCTGCAGGTGAAAGAAGAGGAGAGGGAGTTGCAGCCACTTAGGTACCCAAGCCAGCCCTGGGGGTCAGGGAAGGCCTGCCAAGGGAGGCACCATGCTGACCCTGAGGAGGAACAGGAATGAGAGCACAGGGGTGCAGGGAGGGATGGGTGCAGGAAAGCAGCATGCATATGGCCTGGGGCTCAGAGCAGGGGTTGGCAGAATGACCAGCATGGGGAGAGCAGTCTAGGGGATGTGGGCAGTGGCCACCAGGAGGAGGGAAGGAAAGACTCTGGTCACCATAGCCAGCTGCTAAGGCTGCCCCCTTTCCAGCTCAGCAAAGTTTCTGAGCTGCAGGAGCAACCCCTGAGTTCCTGCCTCTGACGCTCAACTCACCTGCCCCTTTCGTCTCCCACTTTTTCTCATCAATTCCAGCAGGAGGAAGAGGGGCAGAAAAGCCAGGAAGCCTCTCTCAATCCAGAGTGGTGGTGATGGTGTTTCCAGGGGCACCTAGCAATGTCTGCAGATGTTTTTGGTTGTCACAACTGTGTGTGTCTGTGTTTGTTATTGGCATCTGGCGGGTGGATGTCAGAGATGCTGATGTACATTCTGCAATGCACAGATCAGCAGCCACCACAAAGAATGATTGGGCCTCAAATGTCATCACCCCTGAACCTGTCAGGGCGTCCAAGGCACCTGGGGCTTTTCCACCAAGATGCATGGTGCAGGGGGTAGAAGGGAGAGACCAGGTGGGTGAAGTGGGGGAAACTGCCACCAGCATGTCATGAGGGGTGGAGAAGGGAGGAGGGGTGAGAGGGGGAAGGGTGCCGCTCTGGCAGGCTGTCAGGGTGGGTCCCTCTAAGAAGGTGACGTCTGCGAGGGGCATCAGAGGCAGAGGTACAGAGTGTGAAGGCCCTTAGGAGGAGAGGGAGCACCGAGGGAAGGGGCAAAGCGGGTGGCTTTGCTCTGTGCCCCCTGCGAGGCACTGAGGGCCAGGCCTGTGGGGGAGGCGGAGTGGCCCGGGAGACCTGGAGTGGAGAGGTAGGGAAAGGGACCACGGGGGTGCCAAGGGGAGCTTCGGGGTCACGCTTGCTCACCGGGTGTGAGGTCAGGAGAGGAACAGCGTTGGGCAAGCCCCTAAGAGTTGGGAGGGAGGGAGAGGACAACATCCTAAACTCCCCTTTAAACGAAAGAAGAGGGACCACCTTCTAGAGCTGGATTCTCAGTCGATCTGGCCTCAGCTCGACTGTGAGTCCACGCAGTCCACGCAGCTCCACAAGGTAGGAACCCAGATGTGCAGGTGTGCGATGGCGTTGACTGGCGGGCTCCGGACCCACCTGAACAGCTTGGCGACCCGGGAAACACCTGGTCTCGAACCCGCTCCCAAGTGGGAGGGGTCTCCTGTAGGGAAGGTGGGGCTCCAGGCGGGCAGGCAAGGGGACAGGGTCTCCGTGGGTGGGCGGGGGGAGGGGGATGTGGCCGCCGGCTGCAAAAGCCGGTTTCCCGCGCTCCGCACCACCCGGAGGGCGGGGCCAGCCTCCGACGCAATGTTGGCCGCAGAGGGTGGGCGGGGCCTCCGGGAGAGAGGGCGCGGGTCGAGGGGCGGGGCCTCCGGAGAGAGGGCGCGGGTCGAGGGGCGGGGCCTCCCGGAGAGAGAGCGCGGGTCGAGGGGCGGGGCCTCCGGAGGAGAGGGCGCGGGTCGAGGGGCGGGGCCTCCGGAGGAGAGGGCGCGGGTCGAGGGGCGGGGCCTCCCGGAGAGAGGGCGCGGGTTTGGCGTGGGTTGCGGCCACCATTGCAGGGCGGGGCGGGCCTACCGGAGAGAGGGCGCGGGTCGAGGGGCGGGGCCTCCGGAGAGAGGGCGCAGGTCGAGGGGCGGGGCCTCCGGAGAGAGGGCGCGGGTCGAGGGGCGGGGCCTCCGGAGAGAGGGCGCGGGTCGAGGGGCGGGGCCCCCGGAGAGAGGGCGCGGGTTTGGCGTGGGTTGCGGCCACCATTGCAGGGCGGGGCGGGGCCTACCGAGGCGCGGGTGCAGGTCCTAGCGGGGAACGGCGCCTCGGGAGAAGAGGGCGTGGCTCGGGTCGCGGGCGGGGCCCCCCGGGGAGGGGCGGGGCTCGCGTCCCGGGGCGGGTTAAGCGCTGCCTACTTAAGCGGCCGGGGCGGTTATCGGCTCCCCGCCATGGCTCTGAAGCGCTTCTGGACTGCGCTGCTCCCCAGCCTGCGCCGCCTCGCCCCGTTGTCCACGGCGCCGGCGGCCCGCGAGCAGCCCGGCGCGGGCTCGGGGGCAGTGCCGGGACACGGGGCGGCCGAGACCGTGCGGCCGCCGGTGCCCGCCGTGGACTTCGGCAACGCACAGGAGGCGTACCGCAGCCGGCGCAGCTGGGAGCTGGCGCGCAGCCTGCTGGTGCTGCGCCTGTGCGCCTCGCCCGCGCTGCTGGCGCGCCACGAGCAGGTGCGCGGTGGGCAGGTGCGGGGCCAGCGCGCGGGGTTCTGCAGGTTCCGGGAGCCGCCGTGGAGTTTGCAAGCGTAAATCCCGGGACTCCCGAGCATCGCCTGCCGCGAGGGAGCCAGGAAGGGAGGTGTTTGCTGGACCCCTCTCGGACCTCGGGAATTTTCCTATTTGTCAATACTAGCAAGTAGAAACAACGAAACAAAGACCGTTTTAAATTTTAAGATATAGATTACTTGCTGGAGTACGGAGTTATCACCTGGAATTTATAATTGAGTATCCTTCTTGTTGCCCCCTGTTGTCTAAGGTATTGAAAGGCCCATGGCCTGGGACCCCAGAGTTCCACAGGCTGGGACGCAGCCACCCCTCAGGCACCGCCATTCTGAACAGTGTTGGGGAAAGATGGGAAGACGCTCAAAGTCCAACCTTAAATTTGCACATGGTAACTTTAAAATGTGTGAGGACTTCAAGGAAGTGACAAGCAGAACATCTTAGCCACAGTCTGGGGGTATTAGAGAGACAGTTATTTCAAGGTGACCCTGGGGAAGAGTTTGCAGGAGTCAAGTTGTTGGCACTGGGGATCTGGTGCTTTTGATTTCTTGGGTGAGACTGTGCTGAGATCACCAGACTGGCCCCTTGGGCCACCCTGGGGAGTCAGGAGGCAGCACAGGGGTGGAGAGGAATCATCAAGACACACAGCTTAGATGAGGCCTCTCAGGTGGGGAGAGGTCTATGCAGTCAGAGTCAGGTGGCTGTGAGGTGTTGGGTGAATCCCAGTGGGGATTCACTGTCACTTTGGAGCCTAGGACTGATGGTGGCAGGAGTGGGGAAGATGGTAGAAGAAGGGCTGGACTGGGCAGATGGGGGTCTTTGGGAGGCCATCTCTGTGTTTGTGCAGATGTCGATGTCTGAGGTCAATCCCTGGCTGTGGAGAGCCCAGGCCAAGGGGGCAGGAGGGTGAGAAGGGACATTCCAGGTAAAGGAACCCACCCGGAAAGGGGAGGCAGAGAGGACCCTCTGGGGAGTGCCAGCATCTAGGGAAGAGCAGCAGGCGCCAGTGGTGTTGCAATAAGGAGGTCGAGGCAGTGGGGCAGGAATGCCAGGGGAGGGAGCGGCCAACCACAGGGTCTCTGTGGGGCATAAGGACAGGTGCATCGGGTGGCTGCTGGGTGGGACGGGAAGCAGTGCAGAAACCTTGTCCACCTTCTGGCTGGCTGGGAGGGAGAGCGGGCTAGAAACCAGCTAGGCCAAACTTTTCTAGGCACAGCACTGAACTTTCTTCCACAGATTCAAAACCAGCTGTCGTGCTGAGTAGCCAGCAGAGCTGGGGCGTGGGGTTTGGTGCCAAGCTTGCTGAGGGGAAAGAGCCCCAGCACCCTAGTGCTAACCATGGGAGGGATGTGTTGGCTCCATTATCCCTAGGGTGCCTGCCTGGGCAAGTGCCAGGACAAGTGCCAGGGCTCAGGGATGGGAAGGTGGGTACCCGGAAGAGGCAGAGCATCTGGAGACAGCTTTTCCCAGGCTCTTGATGGGTTGAGTCTGTGTCCTAGGGAGGCCTTCTAAGGACTGTGCTGTTGTCATTCCTGGTGGTCCCACTGGTGTCAGTGGCCTCAGCTCCTGGTGCTTCAAAGCTCTGAGCATGTGAGCTGCTTGCCAGAACCCAGTTTTGTGGGTACCTTATCCTCTGGACTGTGGCAGAAATTCCTCCTGCTTAGACAGGGTCTGTGAGACTTTGCCTGGGGAAGTGGGGTCTGTCAAACCTGCCCCGAGGAGCATCCAGTTGGAAGAACTAAGGTTTGAACTGCTTCCTTCGGTAGGGACATTTAGGGACTCTGTTGGGGCCTGCACTTGCCTGAAAGCAGGCCTTTTTAAGGAGGGTTCAGGAAAGTCCAGGTTTCCAGGATAGCAGTGCTGTACTTGGGTGTGAGCCATGGCAGAAGACAGGATAGGAGCAAGGGTGTAGTGGCTCCCGGAGGGTCAGGGAGGGGAGAAAACTGGCTTCATAGTCGATTGTATCTCTGCATGTGTGTGAGTCTTTCACAGTGAAAACAAGTGCATGTGTTACTGTTGCAAGTTCCTAAATCCTGGAGGGGTTCCCCACCTGGAGAAGAGGTGGGGGGCTGCTCTGGTCTCAGTAGAGCCATGCCGGGACATATGTGACACCAGGATGGTTTTACACTTTGCTCTGGAGTTGGCTTTAAAATTGCCAGCCTGTCCGGTGCGCTTCCACAGTCCTGTGCTGAGAGCTTCCAGGCACAGCCCAGCCAAGCCCCACCTGCCCCCGTCTTTTGGAATAAAGCATTCCTGGAGCCAGTGCAGACTGGTGTCCCCTTCACTGAGTTCTGGCTGTGGCAGAGTTGAGCAGTTAGTTACACAGAGACTGCCTGGCCCTGCTAGGGCAGTTTGCTGGCCCCTGCAGCAGTCACCGACCCTCTTTTTTGGTGTGTTTCTGAGGATACCCTCAGAGCTGACGTGGATGAGGCCAGGGGTTCTTTTGCAGAGCTGAATAATGGTTTTCAGGTCCCCAATTCTGCTCTGCCTGCCACTTGGGTGATCTTTGATGTGTCCAAGACCCATCCTTTCCTCCCACCTAGCCCTGGGTGCTGCCCGGTGGGGATAGAGGCTGGCTTAGTGAGACGTGGAGGCCTGTGTGCATCTCAAATGTTGGCTTATTCATTTTCTGGTTTCTAATCCTCTTTATAAAAGAACAAAATGCAGTAAAGTCAGATACTAGGCAGAGGCTGCAGTAAGGTGGGGATGATTGCCTTGGAAATCCTGGTCCCTGGGGCTGCCAGGTGCCATGCACAGCAATGGCTGGGAGGCATCTCCGCAGGCTCCAATGTGCGGTTCAGGAAAAGGTGGTGGCTGCATCTGTCTGTGGGCTGCGTGGAGTTGCTGGGGGCTGGTTTGCGGATGAAGGTGTTTGACTCGCTGATGCTTTTGCTTAGACTAGAGGTTGTTCCTGAAACTCCAGTCCCAAGAGATGCTCTCCATGAAAAAGTGGTTCTGGTATCCATCGGGTTTGAGAGACTCCAGACTCTTCCTGTCTTGGAGCCAAGTAGGTGGGGGCAGTGGGCGTGGGGTTTCTGCACAGGGTGGCGTGTGTTCTGAGCATCACGCTTGGCCCTCCTGCCCCCGCAGCCTCCTGCTGTTGCTGTTCCCGGCTGCCCCCCTGCCCCACCCTCAGCTCGCCCAGTTCAGCATGTCACCTCCTTGTGGGCCCCCTCCTGGGTTAGCAAATGCCCTACCCCTCCCCTCCCACCCCGAGTTCTGAGTCATGTGAAGGTAACCCCCTTTGGGGTGCCTCCTGCCAGGATGTGCACTCCTGGTTTGTTTCCTCTAGCTGTTGCCAGTCACCAGAACTGTCCCTGGCGTGCAGCCACTAGGGACATTTGAATAAATGATGGGGTGAGATGTGACTGGGGGAGTGAGCTGAGTGGTTCCTGGGCAGTGTCTTCCACAGTGGCATGTCTGCATTTGTGGCCAGTCAGCCTGGACGACCTGCCCTGGCCCCGCTGGCCCTTGGGTGAGCAGTCATCTCCCAGGCCCCTGTAGACAGTCCCTGGGCTCACTGTCCCTATTGGCAGGGCATGCCACACTCCAGCTGAGCTCACATTCAGCCTGAGTTTTGCATGTGTTCGTTGCTCAGCTGGCCTCATGCCAGGCACACTGTTTTAGGGACTTGGAATAAGAGTGAACAAAATATTGAAAAACCTGGGAACTCGAATTCTAGAAAGTCTCATGAGATCTGCTTCCTTCCCAGTGGAACTGCTGAGGTGTGGTTATAGAGAATGTTTGGAAAATGCTCAGTGCTGTCCCCTGGGGGGGGGGAGCTGTTCTCTTTACCCACCAAGTGGTGGTCAGGTACCCCTGTGTGCAGCAAGGATGACCGAGAGTGGGCCCTGTGGGGGTGGCGTCCAGGTGGGAACAGCATGCTCACGGTGGCAGGGAGGGGGTTGCCCTGCCCTAGTCAAACTGCCATGTGTGCAGAAGCAAGCTGCTTTGGGTGGTCCTCACTGCAAAGTCGACATCGTGAGCTGAGTCTGTCCCGGGAGACCGCATCAAGGCTCTGTGGTTGGAATGAAGTGTTGGGGTGGGGGTAAGCTGGGGTGTCCTACAGGGAAGGGGAGGCTGGGTGCCCCCAGACAGCCATTTCTCATTGCCTTTCAGCTGCTCCACTTCGCCAGGAAACTGCTGGGGCAAAGGCTGTTCGACAGGCTCATGAAGATGACCTTCTATGGGCAGTTTGTGGCCGGAGAGGACCAGGAGTCCATCCGACCCCTGATCCAGCACAATAAGGCCTTCGGCGTTGGCTCCATCCTAGACTATGGCGTGGAGGAGGACCTGAGCCCCGAGGAGGCCGAGCGCAAGGAGATGGAGTAAGGCCTGGCCAGAGGCCACACAGGCGTGCTGGTGGTGACCCCAAGTCGCCCTGGGCTTTTGGGGGCCTGTGGGGCCATGCCTGGCCCCCTTGCTGACAGCCCTCCTGGGTTCTGCTTGGAGTTCTTGTGTTGTCATTGTGCCGATGGCAGCTCTGGGCTATCAAGTGTGCAGGAGGCCTGAGGAGGGTCGAGGGTTAGGGCAAACTGTGGCCCCTGGCCCTGTCCAGTCCACCGCTCAGTCTTGTATGGTTTGCAGGCTAAGAATGGTTTCTACATTTTCAAATGGTTGAAAGAAATCAAAATAAGAGTACTATTTTGTGGCACATGAAAATTATGTGAAATTCAAATTGCTCTCACCCTCCGGGAGCAGAATTGAGTAGTTGGGCAGAGAAGCTGTGGCCCAAGGCTGAGAACATGTGCTAGCTGGCCACTGGCACAAACATGTGCCAACCTCCCATAGGAGGCTTCTCTGGCTCCCTGCTCCAGCTCCCTTCCTCTCTTCTGGAGGGATTCCTGACCAGTGGGCAGGTCCCACCACCCCAGCCTGCCAGGCCCCAGCCTGCCCTGGGATAGTTTCCATGTCTGCAGGTGGGTGTGGAGCCTCCCAGGCCTGGACTCTGCCTGGGTGTCTATGGATTACAGCCAGGAGTGGCATGGCCAGGTTACTCCCATGGTCACTGACTGGCTCTGGGACCCCTTCCCTGGGCAGTGAGTGTAGGGGAACAGTTGGGTACCTCCCTGATCCCTCCTCCTGGGCAGCAGGACAGATGACAAGGTGATGTTGCTCTCTGCTTCCATGAGTGGTGGCTGGTGCATGAAAGTCCAGATGAGACCAGCCCTTTCTTTGAGAGATGCCCGTGCTGGCACCTATCTCCCTCCAAGCCAGGCCCTTGCTGGGATTTGCAGCCCTGATGCCCTGACAGCAGCTGGGCCAGACGCATATGAGGCTCAAGGCAGGCCCATGGTGGCCCCTGTCAGGCCTGGTGTTTACTCTGCCCCTCCCCAGCTGGCTGGCCTGGGTGGGGAGGGAAAGGCAGTCACATGAGGCCTCCAGCCCTGGGGACAGAATGTCCAAGTTTCTTGCCTTGGCAGGCCAGTTGGGGGAGGACTGGCTTGGGGAGTCCAGCCCCTGCCTCGGGATTGGCTGTTTTGAAGGCGGAGTGCTCCAGCCCAGGACCCTTCCTCTGTTCCTAGCAGCCGGAGTCTCTCAGCCACTTGGGTACTTGGCTGCAGTCCCTGTTGAATAAGGAACAGGCTATGTCCTCAGTGAGCGTCTTGCTGGTTTCACCATGGGTTTCTCTCTCAGGCGCCTCTGGTGTGAAAAGACTCCTTTCCCAGGGCAGGGCAGGCCTGCCTGGCTTCCTCCCTGCCCCACAGGGAAGTTTGGAGGTGAGTCAGCCTGCACTGTCAGTCGGCTGCCTCCCTCCCCACTGTGCCCTTCACCTCCCCTAGGACACCCTGCTGCTGGCAACTGCAGTCTGTAGGAGCCCTGCTTGGGCTCTGGGATGTGAGTGGCAGTCCCTTCCCATCTGCCTGGGCCATGGGGGCAGAGCTGGGCTTGCAAGAGTCAGTCCCACGTCCACACCATGGCGTGGCCCACCTGGCTCATGGGGCAGGACCAGCCATGCAGACCCCTGTGCAGGGAACTGTTTCAGCGTCCTTGGTGAGGTCCAGAGATCCATCTCCCAAACCCACATTTCTGTCACAAGGCCCATAGACTCTACTCTGGGGAGAGAAGCAGAGGCCACTGTCCCAATTTAAGGCCACAGGGGGTGCCAGGCCTAACCTTGAACAGCACAGGAAGGATGGAAGCATCTGAGGGCCTGGTTAGGCTGGGAGTGCTCCCAAGGGAGGAGGAGGAGGAGGAGGCGGAGGGCTGGAAGGCACAAGGCAGGAGGGGAGTGCCTATCTGAAGGAGGGGTGGGGTGGTACCTCCTGGAGGCTTGTGAGAATGCAGAGGCCAGGCCTGGCCCCACATGGGGAGAGGAGCCCCAAGTGGGGATAGGGCCCAGGGCGTATTTGTGATGACAGTACCGTGAGGGCAGGCCTGGGTGGGGTAGGTGGTGGGCACCTGGCCGTGCAGGTGTGACAGGGCCTGGTGGGAATGGGCCCTGTCCCTGCCAAGTGGTATCTGCTCTGAGACCTGGCTGCGCCTGACCGCCGTAGGTGCTGGGTAGTCAGTTGAGCTGTTTGCCCCTTTTCTAAAGCACTGCCTGGTGTCTGCCCAGGAGGTTCCCAGATGGAAACAGTGGTGGCCTCGGGCTGTTTCATGTGGCTGAGCATGTGGGAGCAGGAAAGGGAGTGGCTCTGATCTAGAGGGAACTTCTCTTGTCCTTTGGTCCTGGGGTTGGGTTTACCTGTTCCCTGGAAGGCAGTTGGCCACCCCACAGGCAGGTGACTGTGTCATCTGAACTGTGGGCTGAGAGGTTTCTGGATGGAGCCTTCCCCTCTAGTCTTCAGGCACCTACGGTCCACATCTGCTGTCCTTGCCACACAGGTTTCTGCCCCAGGCAGTGTCTGAGTGCCTCCCCGCCTTAGTGTGGACAGTGGGGCTCTCTTGGGGATAGCTTTTGCCTGGTTGTACCTGGGCCTTGGCTCTGTGACTGGTCTTGAGATGTCTAAGCCAGGGGCCTTAGGAAGGCCCAGGAAACTCCCCGCCCAGGCGCAGGTCGCATGTGGGGCCTGCCTGCTCCTTCATTACACGGTGATGTTTTGCTGTGTCCTGTTATCATGTCTCCTTGCCAGGGCTAGGTGGCCGGAGCCATGGCTGCCTGCCAGCTCGAGTCCCCAGGCTGGGCCTTGTGGGTGTGGCGGCACGTGGGAAGCCAGTGCAGGCTGTGCCCAGCTGCCTGGACTTTTGGGTCTTGACCTGGGTATCTGGCTCAGAGTCCTCAAATAAGGGCCCTGGGGTTGCCTAGGAGCCAGCCAGGGATGGAAGGCTTCTTGGCAGTGGTCCAGTGGCCCAGGGCTAAAGCTGCAGCCAGGCCCTCCTGGCATTGAGGCCTCCAAAGCTGAGTTCACTCATTACTGCCCTTGGCGGGGGGCGCAGAGCAGAGCTGCAGCCCTCCAAGTGAGTGAGCTCTGTGTAACTTAGTAAGGCTTTAAATGCAAAGGCACATGATGGACAAAGCTGCCGGGAGGGGTTAGGGTTGGAGGAGCCGTCCCTTCCTCTGAACAGACTTCTCGGCCCTGGCTCTTTCCCAAGTGGCACAACACCCACACTGAGTGCTGGGAAGCTGTGGGCGGGGACTGGGCGGTTGGTGGGCGCTGTGGAGGAGGGATTGGCCATTGGGGACCACCCAGGGGGACGGCCAAGGGCCACAGCAGCCTGGCCTCCCATTCCCTCCTAAGGTGGGGCATGCCCCTGGGGTAGGCCCTGGGGTGGGCCATGATGAGAACCCAGCAAGGGGGTTAAACCAGATAAGATGGTGAGATCTGATTTGCATTTTAAGTGAAAGTTTCTGGTTGCTGCTTGGAAAACAGGCCTCAGGGACAAGAATGCAGCAGGGGTTGCCTGGAGGGTGGCAGGACTGAGCTGGCCTTAGTGGGCTAGGCTTGAGGGTGTCATCAGAGAGCAAAGGGCCTCTGGTAGATTTTGGGAACTTAGGATGCTTGGTGGCCTCCCCTGACTGGCTCTGTGTTTCATGTTTTCCTTGGAAGCAGGAATCCCTACTGCACACCCTGAGCTGTTTTGAGGACTTGCCCAGCGGTAGGGAGGGATGGGCTCCACCCACAAGGGCCCTAGCCTTCCTGAGCCCCATAAACTGCAGTCCCTCCCAGGCTCAGGAGGTTCCTCCAGGCATGGGTGTGGCTGGGGCTGCGCCTTGGAGCCAGCCCTCCGCCAGGGTCAAGGTTAGATCCACAGAGTAGCCTTGATGGGAACTTGCTGTTACCTGTGCCCTGGGTGCCATGACCCTGACCTTCGTCTTCCTCCCTGCAGGTCCTGCACCTCAGCTGCGGAGAGGGATGGCAGCGGTGAGTGAGAGGCCAAAGTTCAGGGACAGGTGCTGTCCCTACCCTGTACATACCCTGGTGGTTCAGAAGAATCTGGGCTCTGGGCTTTGACATACCTGCAGCGCCTGATAAAGGACGGCCACTGCTTTCTCTTGGCCCTCCCGGTGGACCAGGCCTCTGATGGAGGCTCTGCCCTCCTGGCTCTGTTTGCCCCAGGAGGTTTAGCAAGGGGGCTGGGGAGCCAGGGTGGGACAGTGCAGGCACCAGGCCGGGCAGGGGCCTGGGGACATCCGAGAGCCTGCTTCTGAGCCCGCGCATGTGTGCACCTTCCCAGGCATAAGTAAGAGGGAGAGGCAGTACCAGGCCCACCATGCCTTTGGCGACCGCAGGGACGGCGTCATCAGTGCCCGCACCTACTTCTACGCCAACGAGGCCAAGTGCGACTGCCATATGGAGACGTTCCTGCGCTGCATCGAGGCCTCAGGTGAGGCCCCCTCTTGGCTGGCAGGGCCTGGGCTCATGGAGACGCTAGTGGGTGAACACCAGGCTATGCTGAGTGAGGGAGCTGGGCTCCAGTCACATGCAGGTCGCACCCGTCCAGCCCCTTCCTGACTGGCCCAGCTGCCTCCGCGGAGGCACCTCCTGCCCCAGCCCCGCTTTTGCTCCCTCTGCATGCTCCTCCTCTGGTGCCGTGCCAGGACGGAGCTGTAGGAAGCTGGCCCGTCTGGCTGAAGTGCTCCCGCCCTGGGGTCGAGGTTCCCTTCAGGGAGCTGGTGCCAAACCCTCCAGCAGGGAAGCCCTCCCTGGTACAGCCTGGGGGCCCTGGAGGGGAGTGGCTGCCGCAGTGGGCAGGGAAGCCCAAGGTCACTGAGGCCCAGTGCCCTTCATCAGAAACTCACCAGACCCCGCATGACCTGTGCTGGCCCCGCAACCCTCCCATTAGGGGCAGCGGGTCCCACGCCATCTGAGCGTTTGAGGCTCCTAACGGGGCTGGAGGGCCCGAGTGGCCGGCACGGCCACCAGTGCATCAGGGTGAGTGCGTCTCCTGGCCACCGCCTGCTCTCCCTGGGGGCGGACAGACAGGAGGGCCACGCAGAAGCAAATGCTCCAGCCTGCCTCCGCTCTGCGTCTGTGGGTGTGGCCCCCAAAGGGGCTGCCTGTGTTGCTGGTGGCACAGGAGAGGAAACTGAGGCAGGGAGCCTGTTGGGGCCGCTCCTCAGTGGGCAGGTGGCTTCTTTGTCCACTGTCACCCTGCACACACGTGGCAAACACAACTCGCCCCTCCCCTGCCCCCCGTGGGGGCCTCAGGGCTGCCGTCACCCAGGCTCCTGCCCTCTTCCCACTCTTGCCACCCCCACATGCCTCTCTGGGGCCTTCACAGCTTTTCCTGTGGCTTCTGACAGGCGGAGCCTGTGAGGACGGCTTCTCGGCCATTAAGCTCACTGCGTTGGGGAGACCCCAGTTTCTGGTAAGTGCCGGAACCTTCCACCCGCAGAGTTGGTGATTTGCAGGTGCACATGTGGATGCTGTGGAAGCTTGAGCCGTGCTGTGCAGGGCTGGGGTGGTCAGTGGGTGTGCACCCCAGACGGCACTTAGGCCTGTGTTTGCAGCTGCAGTTCTCAGACGTGCTGACCAAGTGGAGACGCTTCTTTCACCAAATGGCTGCAGAGCAAGGGCAGGCTGGGCTGGCTGCCATGGACACGAAGCTGGAGGTGGCTGCGCTGCAGGTGGGGCAGCCCTCTCCTTCCTGGACGCTGTGGGGTGGCACCCTGTGGCTCAGGCAGAGCTCTGCCCAAGAGAGGTGGCTGAGCAGTGGTGCCAGGAGGTTCCTGGAGCTGATGGGGGTCTGGGCGTGCAGTTCACTCTGCAGCTGCTGGAGTTGGCTGGGGAGGAGGGGCAGGTCAGAAGGACCCTGGATGGGGCTTGAGGCTGAACAGGGACAGAGGAGGTGCTGGTGGGAGGCATGGGGAGCCTCCTGGTAGGGGACTTGCATCCGCAGACAGGCGGGAATAGACCTGTCTATGCAGCAGAAACACAAGCCAGAAGTGGGCTTGTGGGCTGCTCTGGCTAACGGTGTAATGAAGTCAGATACACAGCACCACAAGCCAAGAAGTGGAGGACATGAGTGAACGGGGCTGACCCAGGCCTTCTCACTTCTCAAGGAAAGCATCGCCAAGATGGGCATCGCATCCAGGGCAGAGATCGAAGGCTGGTTCAGGGTGGAGACCCTGGGTGTGTCCGGGTGAGAGCAGCCCCCGGGCTAAGAAGGGAGTGTCTGCCCATTTAGCGAGGGTTTGAGTCCAGCAGCATCTCCTGATGTGGCTCCCTCCCCAGGCGGGTGGGCCTCGTGGGTGACAGTGCCCAAGGAGCCACTCCTCGGAGTTGCACAGAGCAGGAGTTGTCAGGGAGCAGGAGTCCCAGGGGCTGCGGTGGGCAGCATGAGCACCGGGCCAACCCAGGCCCCAGAGAGGTTACAGAATTATGTGGGTCCCAGACCGAGGGTGTCACGCTTGGTCCTCCCCAGGGCCCATGCTGGCAGGTAAAGGATCAGAGCCCCCGCCCTGGCCTCCTGCCCCTCCGAGGCTGTGTCTGCCTCCACCTGCCAGGTCTGTGCTGGGCTCAGGGTGGCCACGTTTTTACTGCCATCTAGATGCAGGAATGTTTGTATTTTGGTTTTAATTTTTTATATGGCAAACATTATTTACATTTTTTCTGCTTTTTTAAAACTGAACACCAAGGTGGGGTTTGTGGTGGTGGGGTTGGAGGATGCTCTTTTGGGGAATGGTTGGTTTAGGCCCGAGTCCCCTGCCTGACCCCAGTGCTGGGTGGGGCTGCTGCTGGCCACCATGCTGACACGCCTTCTCCCCAGCACTGTGGACCTGCTGGACTGGAGTGGCCTCGTCGACAGCAGGACCAAGCTTTCCCAGCACCTGGTGGTCCCCAACACACAGGTAATGCATCCCCTCACTGACTCAGTGCAGCACAAGCGTCTCCTTTGGCCTATCCTGGAGACCACTGGCCCCTCAGAGACCCCCGTGACGCACAGAGTGCTCGGTGGGACAGAGACTCACATGGAGCCTTGCACCGGGAGGAGACGGTATCTGGGGACCTTCCCTATCTATCCTGCGTGTTTGGTCTCCTCAAACCTCAGAGCTGTGAAATGGCAACAGTCACTTTATTTCCCCCTCGTGGTTCTAGGGTTGATAGGGCGTGGCTGTGTGATTCTCACGAGGGGTGTCCAGGGCAGCTGTACTCAGAGGGTGTGGGGCTGGGGTCCTCTCTGAAATGTCCTAATCATGCTTCGCAAGGTCAGTACTGGCTGCTGGCTTGGGCTTCCTCTGAACATGGCGGCTGAGTTCCAAGGGCAAGTGTCCCCTGAGACGAGAGAGCTCAGCCTCAAACTTTGAGCCACCGACCTGGAGCCTCAGGCTACAGCACGTCCAAAGTGGCCCTTCTGCAGGGCCACCAGCTGTTGGACACTTTAGCATGTGTGTGGCTGGAGATAGATGCCATCTGTGCCCAGTGGAGCAAGGCCACCAGGGCCACATGGGGCAGCAGAAGGCCATGGTGCTGCCCGGGCCCCGCAGGGTGGGTGCCTGCCACCCTGAGCACCTGGCTTCCTGAAGGCATCTTCCTGGACGGTGCTTTTAGTCCCCCACCACGCGTCAGTGTGTTCTGCATGGCTGTCCCTCCTCCCTGTTCTGAGCTGAGCCCTTGTTGGACTGGGTGATCAGTGTTCATTTCCTTAGTTTTCTATGGAAGCTGAAGAGGGGCCCTCCCCATAGTGGTAAGGCCTTTTAGGGACCTGGAGTGCACATTTTGGGGTTCGGGCCTTGCATGGGCACTGAGCTTCCTACTGGTGCTGCCAGGCCTTGTGCGGGCTGGCTGCCAGGTTTCAGAGCACCAGGTCACCGTGTCTGGCCAGCGTAGGGCAGGGTGCTGACCTTCACATGCAGACAGTGGGAGTGAGGAGGACGGGCTGGGGCTGGCACTGGGTACTGGCAGGTCTAGGTGGGCCTGGGTGGTGCTGCTGAGAGAGGAATAGCTGGGGCTTTCCAGCCCTCGCTGTGCCCCTGCTACGTGCTGTCCCTCAGACAGGACAACTGGAGCCCCTGCTGTCCCGGTTCACTGAGGAGGAGGAGCTGCAGATGACAAGGATGCTACAGCGGATGGACATCCTGGCCAGGGTGAGCCGGCCCTGCGTGGGTGGAGGGCTGGGACTCAAGGGCCCTGGGACTCGCGCAGAGCCAGGGCACCTGCCTCACTTGAGCCACAAACATACCCCTGCACCTGTCAGAGAGCCAGGGAGGTGGGCGTGCGGCTGATGGTAGACGCCGAGCAGACCTACTTCCAGCCGGCCATCAGCCGCCTGACGCTGGAGATGCAGCGCAAGTTCAACGTGGAGAAGCCGCTTGTCTTTGGCACTTACCAGTGCTATCTCAAGGTGGGCCCTCCCTGCGGCCTGCATGCAGGGAAGGGGTGCCCTCATCCAGCTCTGTGTGTCTGCTGGCCTCACTCTGAGCATGGGCTGGGGGCTCATGGGGTGGGTGAGGGGGGAGTGGACCGTGCCCCGGGGGCCTGGTGGGATCCTCTGCAGCAGAGTTGGCCCCTGTGGGGCCTAGGTTCCCAGCGGCTCTGCCCTTCTGTGCAGGGGAGGCTGAGGCCGGGGTGACTGTCCTGCACAGAAAGGGAGGCCTCCTCTGACCCTAGCTGCCTGCCTCCCTCCTCGGGGCCAAGAGCATGAAGGGCGCGGGAGGAACATGTGACATGCCTGGCACCTGAGTTCTGAAGGCTTCGTGTTCATTTCTTCCAGTTTGATTTTAGTTCAGGATCCCCTAAGAATGTGATGACAGCTCTGGGCCCCTCCCCAGAAGACTCACCTGGGATTTTCCATGCACTCAGGGAGTCCAGGGGGCCTTTAGCCTGAGAGCACTGAGCTCCTGGGCGTGAGCAGATCTGGAGCTCTCAGGAACGAGCCAGGTGCCCAGAGGACACAGGGTGGTGAAGGGGTCCAGGCAGGTGCCTCTGGCATGCACCCTGTCTCAGGCAGCCCAAGGGTCTGCACCACATAGTGACTGCTGTTGCTTAGGCCACTCTCCCACAGGGCCTCCCCCCAGAGCTGTCCCCCCAGTAGGCTGTGCCCCACACAGGGCTGTCTCTAGGCCACAGAGGAGGCTGCAGATGTTCCCACTGTCATTGCTCTTTGAGGACAGAGGTCAGAGGCCCATCCTTACACCTGCTCCAGGGCCCCTGAGCTGTACTTCCCCAAGACAGCTGCTGCCGGGGCCTGGGTACCCCAAGCTGACTACACCTGGGAGCACCTGGCTCCAGGAAGGCCCCATCTGGCTGTTGCCCTGGCTCAGCCAAGCTCCCTGTGAATTTTGGCCCTGGCCCCATAGGATGCCTATGACAATGTGACTCTGGATGTGGAGCTGGCTCGCCGTGAGGGCTGGTGTTTTGGGGCCAAGCTGGTGCGGGGGGCGTACATGGCCCAGGAACGTGCCCGAGCTGCGGAGATTGGCTATGAAGACCCCATCAACCCCACGTACGAAGCCACCAATGCTATGTACCACAGGTGCGCAGCCTCCTGCCTCAGGCTCCCAGGGCGGAGCGGGCACGAGGGACCCAGCTGAGGAAGGGCCTCGGGATGACACCGCTGCCCCACCTGCCCGGGCCAGAAATCCTAGCAGGAGCCTGAGCCGTGTGTGTCCTGAAGCCAGGACTCATAGATCTTCTGCTTCTGTGTCACTTTTTCCACATTAAGGTTTTTCTTTTTTAAATTTAGAAAAGCCTACTGAACAAAACAAAACTGGCCACATTCCCCGGCTCCTGCTCACACTTAAATGAGAGATGTGCCCGGGCGCCCGGCCCTATCTGCACCGTGGCTCGGCCTGTTTCCTTTTTAATCCACATGGCAGGATAATCAGCTGTTCTTCACCTGCTTTTATTGCTCTAGTTATCTGGGTGATCTGAGCCTTTCCCTCTCAGAGGTGTGTGCGCATGTTGCAAAATCAGAGATCCCTGGTATCCCCTAGCCAGCTCCAGCTCCCTCCTCTCGGCCCGCCCAGCACATTCCTGCCGCACCATGCATGCCTGTGCCATCGCTGTGTTTGTGGTACACTCTGTCCTTTGCCCGGTGCATTTTTTATTTAACGCTCTATCTGGACCCTCCTGTGTCAGCATGCAGAGCGTTGGACGTCCAGGGCTCTGTACCTGGCGTCTGCGATCTTTGGTTTTCAGCCTGGTTATTGTAACAGGGACTCCCCAAGCATACTGTCCCCCTGTCACACATATGCTGTCTGGGGTTCTGTGTGTCTGAGGACACAGCTCTCGCACATTCCTGGAAACGGAGTTGCTGAGTCAGGGAATGTCCATCAAGCCTGCAAGTGTCCTTGCTGCTCAAGGGCAGTACTGTTCCGTCTCCCTGGGGCACAGGGATGCTGTCCCACCAGGCCTCTGGGGACCTGCTTCCCCTTATTTCCTCGTGGGGGCAGGGGCGCACTACAGGGTCCCTTCCCAGAAGCGAAGCTGCACATGTCAGGAGGTGCATGGGCAGGTCCGGGCCGGCCCCCGCAGGCCCCTGTGGTCATAGCATGTTTGATGTAGGAACGTTGTAGCCCAGCTCATTCCGCTCTCTGAACTGTCCTCTCTCAGATGGTTGCTTGTTCTTGGTGGTGGTTCTTTCTTTTTCACGAGGGGCTGAGGAGGGGCGGATGCTGCTCTTGTCCCTCCTGACGCTGTGGGCAGCCTTGGTGGGAGCCAGCTCACTGTGTGGTCCTGGGTTTGCCTGAGGTCTCCTGCCCCTGTGGCGGGCTGGCAGTGAGAGGCACAGCAAGGGGCAAGGGGCCAGGGGCCGGGCTCATGTGGTGCTCCCCCAGGTGCCTGGACTACGTGCTGGAGGAGCTGAAGCACAATGAGAAGGCCGCGGTGATGGTGGCCTCCCACAACGAGGACACTGTGCGCTTCACTCTGTGCAGGTAGGATGTCCCGACCATGCTGGCAGGGTCTCTGGCTAGGGGAAGTCGGCAGTGGCCCAAAGTGGGCAGTGACCTGCTGGCTGTGGGCAGTGTCTGGGGTAAGGTCTGTGGAACGAGTTGGTGTGGTGGCCTCAGTGCCCCACAGGCCCTGGGCCCAGCTGGAGTGCTCGATACTACTCCACTGCGGGAACAGGATGGCTATTTGCAGTTACTTTGGTATTTTTTTTTTTTGAGGCAGTCTTGCTCTGTTGCCCAGGCTAGAGTGCAGTGGCATCATCATACCTCACAGCAGCCTCAAACTCCTGGGCTCAAGCGATCCTCCTGCCTCAAACCCGAGTAGCTGGGACTACAGGCATGAACCACCATGCCTGACTAATTCTATTTTTAGTAGAGATGGGTTCTTTTTGCTCATGTTGGTCTCAACTCCTGACTTTAAGTGATGCTCCTGCCTCAGCCTCCTAAAGTGCTCAGACTATAGGCAAGAGCCACTGCACCTGGCCAGTTACTTTGGTTTTTAAAATGAGCACCTGACTCAGTAAAGTTTCAGATTCAAAATATAAATTTCATTAGGAGATTCACATAGCTTATAGCAACCTACAAACACAGAACCTCAGAGTCCTGTGGTAGGCCTCGGGGGCACTGCCTCATTTACAAACAGTTTCCTTTAAAGTTCTGAACTACAGCTGCAGTTTAACATAGCCTGTTTTCCCTTTACCATGGAGCACAGCTTTAGTAGAATTCTAACAAGTCAAATGCAGAAATTAGGTCAAGTCAGTTCCTAGATATTCCAATACTGTCCCCACTGTCTTGTATCTCATACCCTAACTTCCACCAGGCCCGCACTGGGTCCTGTTCCCCATTCCCCTGGACTCTACCTTCGTGGGTTTTGGCCCCCAAGGAGCCTGGAGGGCCTGGGCAGTGGCCTTGCTGGCCCTCGCCTTCCAGGGCCCTGTTGGGGGCTCCATCCTATGGGGGGCAGCCGCAGGCCCGAGGCTCGTGGGACTTCTGGGCGCTGCTTAGGGAGCTGCCTGATTGTGCTGAATCATTCAGTGACGTCCATGCTTGTCCTTTGTTCGTGACACTGCTGCTTTTTCACACTCTGGAATTGCAGTGCACCCCCTTTGGTGCCCTGATCCTCTGCTAGATGTCGTAGATGTATTGGTGACAGGACGGGCTCGCTGTTCCTCTGTGGGGAAGGAGGCCTCCTCTCAGCTTTCAGTGAAGAACTCACAGCCTTTCATTGACCACGTGCACTTCACGTTGAAATCACAGGCTAATGGACTTGGACTCTTGAGTAGAGACATCATAGTCCAACTCTTAAAGGAACAGCCTGTCCTCAGCAGGCTTCCTTTTTAATCTAAATCTCACCTCCACCCCCCACCTGTCTATCATCTTGCTGCGGCTGCGCCTCCTGCCCTGCACACAGCGTCCCCCTCTCCCGAGTGGCAGATGGGTTTCTCCCTTTCCTCGTAGCCTCTAGGGACCTGTGCTGGACTCCACTAATACTGAGTAGGCTCAGCGCCTGCAGGCCAGGGTCTGCTCCCCTGCTCTTGGTGGCTGGGGAGCCCCAGGCAGCTGGGGCCACCTCCCCTGGGGAAGTGGTTCTGAGTCCCTGACAGTGGTGGCTGCTCTGTCGTCTGCCTGGCCCAGGCTGCCACACCACATATCCAGGCACCTCAAACAGCCTGACTGAGTAACAAACCAGCTCCAAACTTAAGAGGCTTGAACAGTAGCGTGCTCTGTGGTCTGGGCTCAGTGGGTGCTTCTGTTGGCCTTGCCTGGGTCCCTCCTGAGTCTCTGGACTGCATCCCGTGTCTAGTGCCCCACAGGCCAGCCCAGGGTTGGTAACGTGGTAGTCTCAGGCTTCTAGAAGACCTGGAGAGGCCAAGCTCTGCTGGAGTCATGTTTCCTACCTTCCTGTTGGCCAGAGGCAGTCAGGAGGCCAAGCCCAGATGCCAGATGCAGAGCGCCTCTGCCCTATGCTAGGAGAAGCTGTAGTCACATGGCAGAGGCTGTGGACACCAGGGGGGTGGGGGGAGGAAGGACAGGGGCAGCCTGGCTCTCTTGGCGTTCACGTTCCAGTGGTGGAGAAAGACAAACTCAAGACCAGGGCGATGTGGCAGAGACAGGGACCTGCTTTAGATCAGGCAGCCCTGATACTGGATGGGGATGGAGACAAGTCTGTGACTGACCTTCCTGCAGAGTCCTGGCTGCTCTAGGGAGCCTGGGTTGGAGCCAGGGGGGCCCTGAAGCTGATGAGAACAGGGGAGACAGGCCCTGAGGGAGGGGTGGGAAGCACAGGCTTTGCCAGGTGCCTGGTGGGTGAGGCCAGGCTGAACTCACCCTGGTTGGGGGCCCACAGTGCTGGTGTGAACATGCCAAGTCTGGATGCCTGGGGTTGAAGATGTGTGAATCGTAAACATGAGGACATTTCAAACTCTGGGAGCTTTAGTAAGATTCTACAAGGGGAGTTGTGAAGACAGAACAGAATTGGGGGCCAACATCTGTGCCACAGGAATATGATGTGAGCTGCATCTGTAATTAGTAGCTATGTTAAAAATATGAAATTTCAAGAATACATTTTATTATTTATTTATTTTTGAGACAGAGTCTCGCTTGTTGCCCAGGCTAGAATGAGTGCCGTGGCATCAGCCTAGCTCACAGCAACCTCAAACTCCTGGGCTCAAGCAATCCTTCTGCCTCAGCCTCCCAAGTGGCTGGGACTACAGGCATGCGCCACCATGCCTGGCTAATTTTTTCTATATATATTATTTGGCCAATTAATTTCTTTCTATTTATAGTAGAGACGGGGTCTCGCTCTTGCTCAGGCTGGTTTCGAACTCCTGACCTTGAGCAATCCGCCTGCCTCGGCCTCCCAGAGAGCTAGGATTACAGGCGTGAGCCACCGCGCCCGGCCAAGAATACATTTTAATTAACCCCAAATATACAAAACTGTATTACTTTAATTCACAGCACATCTCACTTTAGAGTGGCCACCTTCTAAGGACTCAGGGTCACTGCTGGCTGCCATGTGGACACAGCAGCTGTCAATATGGGGCAGAGGAGCAGCCGGCACATGGAGGACGGGTGGGGGCATGCAGGGTACCAGTCGCCAAGCAGAGCCTGGGGAGGGGCTGGAGAAGGGCCTAGGAGCTGCCCCACTTCCAAAGAGGGAGGTAGGGGAGGGCAGGAGCGGTGGCTGCGAGGGCAGGGGAGGAAGGGGGCACTTTTGCTGGCTGTGGGCTGAGGCCTCCCCAGGGAGAGCCCGGTGGAGCCCTGCTGGGAAGAGGCCTGGCTGGGGCAGGGCAGAGCCCATACCCCAGTCCTACCACACAGGGGATGAAGACTGGAGTGCAGATGGAGGGCTGGGGAGTGGCAGGAGGGGCTTGGTGCTAAGTCAGGGGCCCTATACCCTGTGCCAGGGGATAGTTTCTTGGGGCCAGGCCCTCACCTGCCCAGCTTCCCCTTCTCACAGGATGGAGGAGCTGGGCCTGCACCCCGCTGACCGCCAGGTGTACTTTGGACAGCTGCTGGGCATGTGTGACCAGATCAGCTTCCCGTTGGGTGAGCCGGGAGCTCCCTGGGGGTGGTGGTAGTGGTGGTGGTGGTGCTAGGACTCACGGCTGCTCTGCCGCATGTGCAGGCCAGGCGGGCTTCCCCGTTTACAAGTATGTACCCTATGGCCCCGTGATGGAGGTGCTGCCCTACCTGTCCCGCCGTGCCCTGGAGAACAGCAGCCTCATGAAGGGTGCCCAGCGGGAGCGGCAGCTGTTGTGGCAGGAGCTCAAGCGGCGGCTTCGCACCGGTAGCCTCTTCTACCGCCCAGCCTAGTGGCCACTGCTGCATCACTACCATTGGCCTTCATGCACCCCGGCTGTGGCCTCCCAAGGCCCTCATGCCCAGCAGGGACTTGGGGGTGGGGCCTGGGTGGCCCTTAGGCTGTCACCATAGCTGCAGCCCAATCCCAACCTTGCAGATTCACCTATTTACACCTAAGACTTCGGGACCTGTGGGAGATGGGGCCCTGCCCAGGGTGTGGGCACTCAGTGTGGGCTGAGTCCGATACCTGTCTGAGCCACTGTGAACTGTTGGGACCTCCCCACCTATGCAACCCATGTCCTGGAGGATTGCCTTCTGCCAGGGGCCAGCCCACACCCCGAGCCCCTGGGTGGCCAGCAGCTAGGCAGGGGAAGCACACCTGATCAATAAACCATTGTCCCTACAGCTGAGGGCCCCGACTCTACTGCAGCGCCCTCATACTGGGTCAGCTCTGGGCAGCAAGGAGGGAGTGCCTTGGATGGGGCCCAAGAAGTCTCCCCCGAGGCTTTGGCACCATCTGTCCCTAGAGGCCAGGTCCAGTGCAGACCTGGCCACCTGGAATGCTAGACACTCCCAACTCCATAACCCAGGGCCTTTGAGTTCAGGCCAGCACAGACAGGATGCCTGTGGACATGAGGCTGAGCTCCCAGGGCAGAGCCAGGGCACCTCCAGTGGGCTTCCCCCCTCAGACCCTTCCTGTCACACTAGCGACCTTCACTAGCGACCCACTTGGGACTGCTGCCACTCTGACAGGCCCTGGAGCAGGACTGGGCCCCCTGCTGCCTCCATGCTGTCCAACCCCAGCCCTGTGGAGCAGGGTGGATGTGGTCCTTGTGCTCTGGGACCAGGGCTGGGACGGGGAGGCCAGGAGGCTCCCAGTCTCCGTGCAGGGGTGAGGGTGGTGAAGCTGGGCACATGGCCCAGTAGGGCAGCCCCAGGCAGAGGCCTCTGCTGCAGCATGAAGGCATTGGATAAGGGCCCCATCTGGGCCCCAGTGGCAGTGGAAACCAAGCCACACGCCAAGTCACACAAGCCACACGCAGGCCATGAGGCATCTTTATTTCTCTGAGTCACAGAGGGCTTGGGCCTCAGAGCCTCTTCCACGCAGGGGCTATCACAGCCAAGGGAGGGTCTGAGTCTAGAATAAGCACTTGGGCTGAGGCCTGGTGGGGTCAGGATGTGCCCCCTGGAATGAGAAGGTGCTAGAATGCTTCAGCCCTACTACCTGCCCAGCCCTGGGGCCTGGGCCCGCCTCCCCTTAATGAGACTATTCTAGCCTTTGGACAGAAAAGCCCAGATGTAAATGGGTAACAGACATAGCCAGGGTCCACCAGCCTCTCCTCAGAAGGATGACCCCTATCGGCAGCTGGGGGGCAGTGGCCAGACATCAGGTTGACAAGTTTCGCTCGGTGTTCTGCTGCCTGTGGCTACAGCAGGGCAGGGCTGCCTTCCCAGCCATGCTGGGAAGCAGGCGGCTGCAGGGCCCCGTCACAGGGCTGCCTTCCCCACCTGGCAGCTCCTCTGCTGCAGCTTCTGGATGAGCTCCAGCAGGTTCATCTGCAGCATCAGCTCCTGGCATACAGAGGGCCCCGTGTGGGCAAGTGTGGCAGCTGACTCCTTCCCCTGCCCAGAGGCAGATACCAGGGCCCAGGGATGCCAGGTAGTGAGGCTCCAGGGCCAATGTCCTGGTGCAGCCTGGCGACGGCCTTCCAGAAAGGGTTGGGACCCAGGCCTCCGCCCCCAGCAGGGCTGGCTGTTGCCCTGGCTTGGCACACAGGGAGTGGCGCACAGGAGGGGGGCCCTAGAGGGTGCAGTGGACCTAGGTAGGGATATCAGGCAGTGTCCCCTGGGCAGCCAGCTGGCTTACCCTCCTGTGGGCAGTAAGCTTGGCTTCCGTGGGAGCAGAAACCCTCCAGGAACCTCATTTCCATCCCACCCCCATTTTCTGGGCCTGGGTCCCCAGGGACCAGCAGTAAAACCCAGATGGGATTGGGCCTTTAGGGGACCAGTGACACTTGGGCTGGGGGCAGGGCAGGCCCAGACGCTGACCTGTGGGTTAGTGGTCACGTAGAAGCCAGCCACTCCTGCCTTCTCGAGTGTGCTCTGCTGGTCAGCCACCTTCCGGTCTAGCTCCAGGACAATCTTGCGGTCCATTGCCCGCTGTTCCTCTCGGATCCGGTGCTCCACAGACTGCCACAGTAAGGGGAGTGAGGGCGGCTCAGGCTCAGCCCCCTGCCCACCAGTGTCCCAAACGCATGCTCCTGCCTGCCACCCCCAGTGGCACCGGGTCTGAAGGCACTGACTCATCCTCACCATGCCCACCTTGCCCCCCCCCCCCCCCCCCGGTCCTCCGCCAAGCCTAGAAAGGGGCTCTGAGGGGTTCCGCTGCATACCCTGGCACCTCATGCATCTCTCCAGGCATCCGCCCACGGCTTGCTGGTTGTTCCTAAGCTCCCCAGGAGAAGGACAGGTCCCTTCGTGGCTGGCCCTGTCACCCCACCATTGCCCTTGCACCCCTGGGGCCACAGGGCACAATGACCCCCATCAGTACCTGCTCCACATGGGCCCCAGCCCGAGGAGCTGCTGTCCCAGTGAGCAGGGAGGGCCTTCATTCCCCACACAGACCCAGGACACCCATCCTTCCCATGTGCCATGTACTGGGACTCACTAGGGCTCAGCGGCCCACATAAGCCCAAAGCAGCCACTGAGTCTCTCTGACCAGGTGGTGCCCATGAGGTGGTGCCAGCCCGACTCCCAACGAGCCTCCTACCTCCAGCTCCCGCTGCTGGGCTGCCTGGAGCACTGGCAAGTTGTGGGGCCGGCAGGCCTGCTGGGCATCCTGGTGCCTCTGCCGCAGCGCCTGTCTGAGCACTGGGAGGAGATGAGGGCCTGTCAGCCTTGAGCGAAGGGGGAGTGGCCCCATGGCACACCTCTTCCCTCATGCTACTCCTCCGGCCCACCACAGAGCAGCCAGGCCCAAGGGATGGAGGGAAGTCCTGTACCAGGGGTGGGGGCTGGGTGTAGCACCTGCCCTCACCCAGGCCCCTCAGACCTCCAGGCCTGCTTGCACAGAGGGCAGGGCCCTCTAGAAGGTGCAGGGCATTAAAAAGGGTGGGGTCAGAAGGCTGTCAGGTTGGGACAGGCTGGGTCAGTCTGCAGCCTGGCTCATAAGACCAGCCAGAAGAAGCTTCTGGGGCCACATGGCCATACGCCAGCAGTCCAGGGTGTGCCCTGTCCCATCACTGAGGGACAGCTACTTGAGTGTCCGACACCACCTGAGGCAAAGGCCTGGGAAAGCAGCAGGAGGAGAAGGTCACTGTGCCAGGCACGAGCCTCTGCCCAGCAAGGCTGTGGCTGCCCTTCAGGGTGGTAGCCAACCCCACATCTGCAGCTCCCAGCCCCTCACAGCAGCCGGAGGGAGACGGGTAGGCATAGACTGGGAGGTCCAAGACTGGGATAGGCCTGAGGTACCACGAGCCCACAGAGGCTAGGTGGAGGGGAGCATGTGGCTCTGAGAGAGGCTCACCTTCAGCCACTGGGCAAAGCCCCATGGTTTCTGCTATACTGTGCCATAAACACACATATGTGCAAACTGTCCAGTCTGACAGGAAGGGACATATGAAAACGGTATCATGTTTTGGATTAAAAGAAACCACTATCACAAAGCAGAATATGCACTATCACAAGCCAATACCCTAGACCAGTAGTGTCAAATGGCTAGATCTCCCCAGGCAGGATGAGTCCTTGGCCATAAAAAAAAAAAAAAAAAACACAAAAACAATACAAACATCAATACTGTGTTCCTAGGAAGAGACCTTAGCCTGCAGCCCTTGTCAGGAGGGTCCCTGAGGATCCTCTGCAGGCAGCCTGGCCCCCACTGTGCCCACAGCCCTGCCTAATCCGTTTCTTGGCATTCTGTACACATCTCGATAATGGCATTTATCATATTAAATGCATTTCAAACCAAGAGCCACCCTTAAGATATCTCCATAATAGAGGGACAAGAATGAGACAAGAAAATTATCTGGTTACAGTGTACACAAGGGGATGGCAGGGTGCAAGGAAACAAATGCAGGGAAATTCATCTCCTTCACTCCATTCATCAAACATTGCTATGAGTCCCAAGTCCACTGCCAGGTTCCACTGGGTAGGCAAGCAGAAGGCAAGAAAAGCACCATGCTGGCTGCCTGGGCACAAGGGGCTTGGCCTCAGTAATAATCAAGGAATGCAAAGAAGGCAGTGGCAGCCAATCGTCTGCTAAATCAGCAGGAAAAGCAAAGTCAACACAGGCTGGTCTGCTGCCAGTGGCACCGGAACCTGACCTGACCCTCCCGAAGGACAAGTAGTACAGGGTCCAGAGTTACCAAAAACGCCCCAGCTAAGGAGAACCAGGGCTCCATGGGGAAATGGCCAATTCCAGAACTGAGGCAAGGAAAAAGCAAAAGATGAGCCTGAAGCCCCTCCCCCCCCCCCGTGGCCAAACACGGCATAGTTTGAGCATTAGAAAGAATAATGAGCCAGATGTGTGAGCTGTAAGCATCTAACACCTCAACAAAAATGTAGAAAAAGACAGTCGCCAAAATGTCAAGGGAAGAAGTAACAGCAATTCTACACAGACTCTTCTGGAAACCTGAAGAGGAGAGAACACTTCCTGACTTGTCCTGTAAGGCCGCAGTGTCCTGATACCCAAACAAGATTAAGATATTACAAGAAAACTACAGACCAACATCTGTCGTGAACATAGAGAAAAAAATTCCTAACAAGATCTTAGCAAATCAAATCCAACATATATAAAAAGGAAAATCCATCATGACCAAGTAGGATGGGAGCCAAGTCAGTGTAATTCACCACAGTCACGGAAACTATGATTTACCACACAATCATCTCAAAAGACACAGAAAAAGGATCTGACAAAATCCAACATCCACCCCTGAGAGAAATACACTAATCCTGGGGCAGATGGATGTTGCCTGCCCTTGGGGGAAGGGGCCAGGCATCACAGGGAGGAATTTTTTAAACATTCAACCAGCAGTTAGTCAGGTTCCTATCTGCTGTCCAGTTTACAGGAAAATAGGGGTGGAGAACCAGATTAAATGACATGACCAGGAAGCAGGTCCAGATAGGTCCAGATGGGGGACATTCTACAGGTAGAATGCCCTGGATTCTTGAAAAGTCAATGCCACAGTAAATGCTGGGTACTGTTCCAGAAGCAGAGACTAAAGTGACTAATTGCAATGCATGAACCTAGACTGAATCCTTACTTATAACTAAGTGATAACTAAGCCAAGTAAAGTGACCATGCACTAAAGGACAGGAGACACCCTGGAATGGTTGATTTCTCATGAGGCTAGCTTGTGAGGTTGTGCAGGAGTGTTCTTGTTCTAGAACGCTTGCTCTCAATCCCAGGCCAAGGGTGACCCCGCCAGGGTTGTATGGAGGCAGTTTGGGCTGACATGGCTAGGGGAGGGTGCCACTGCCATCCTATCCTGCAAAGCAGTATCTCACCATAAAGACTTATCTAGCTACAGATGCCAACAGTGTGGGAGTGTGGGGTTGAAAATCCTGGTCTCCAGGAATGATGAAGACTCATGGTGAAGTGCTATGGTGTTATGTATATGTAGGGATATAAAGAACTTAGGCAAAATGTTAAATATTGAACCTTGGTGGCGAGCACAGGGAATTCATTATACATTCCTTCTACTTTTCTGAACGTTTCAACTTTTAAAATAAGGGAAATATAAAATAGCAAAGGTGGAAATCTGATGGTGCAGGGGGAGCTGCCCCATATAATCTGCAGGAAGGGGGCTCCCTCTGAGTGGTAACGCCTGTGAGGGGCCAAGCTTATGGCTCAAGTGGGAAGCTCTTCAGGTCCAGGAAGTGCCACAGGGAACAGTTCTCAGGAATGCGATGATGTGCAGCCGGTGCAGTGCCCTGAGAGGGATCTAATCCTAGAGGGTGGTGCCAGCGGCAGAGCTGTTAACAGACTTTCATCCATCACTGGGCACTGCAGTCAAGGTCGCCACAGGGTCTGCTTGTGGGTGGACCAAACACTGAGGCCTTGGGCGACGCGTCCCACCAGGAAGGGGATAGTGGCACAGGGAAGCCTGAGCAGGGAGTTTCTGGATGTCATGCCAAGAACGGGACTGTTCAAGAGACAAAACTATTCAGAGATTCTGGACCGTCTTCCAAGAATAAGAAAAAAAAAAAAGTAAAAAAAAAAACAGACAAAACTGGCTTGGCACACCGGTCGCCACAAAAGCGCTATTGAAGGCTCTGCGCCCTCGATATAGTCAGTCTTAGGGACCTCTTCTGAGCGGTGCCCGGGAAGGGCCTGCGCAGAGACGGAGAGCTCCCTGGGCGCGCCTCCCCTGCGTACCTCGGTGCTCATTCTGCAGGCGCAGGCGCTGGTTGTACAGGCTCTTCTCGGTGAGGTGCTGGATCTCCAGCAGCCCCTGCACGATCTCGAACACTGTGCCGTCAAGGAGCGCCAGGGCCAGGTCGCTGAGCGTGGTGTAGGACAGGCGCTGCTGGAAGGAGCTGTCGGCAGGGCGGCGCGGTGAGTGCGGGCGGGCCCCGGAGCCGCCTGCCCCGCCCCGCCCGGCCTGCGTACCTGGGCAGTTCCTTGACCAGGCTCTGCAGTGCGGAAAGCAGCTGGTAGTGCCGTGCCTGCTGCCCGGCCCCATCCGCCGCCGCCTCCTCCAAGACGCCAGCAAAGCGCTCCATAGCGCCCACCGGCCTCCAGCAGTGACGTGCGCCCCGCCCCTTCTACGTCAGTCACGAGCGCGGCGCGCCCCGCCCCTCCTACGTCAGTCACGAGCGCGGCGCATCCCGCCCCTCCTACGTCAGTCACGAGCGCGGCGCGCCCCGCCCCTCCTACGTCAGTCACGAGCGCGGCGCGCCCCGCCCCTCCTACGTCAGTCACGAGCGCGGCGCATCCCGCCCCTTTACTATAGTCCCGAATGCTGCGCGCCAGGGCGTGGGCCCGCCCTCGCCGCCAGGCGCCCTGCTGCCTGCGTCCTTCTGAGCGGGTCGCTGCAGCCCTCCGAGGCGGGTATGTGGAGAGTCTCGCATTGCCCCACTCTTTACCGTGTCCATGGAAAAAAACCAAAACTATGTAAAATAATTTTAAAGAGATTTATTCTGAGGCAAATTGGAGGACCGTGAATGACCTGGGGGAGCCATTCCCAAAAGCCTTGAGCAGGTGGACTCAATGTAGTTGGGTTTGTGGAGGGAAAAAAGTCCAAACCTTGAAATATTTGAAAGAAGTTTATTCTGAGCCAAATTTGAGGACTGTAAAGAAAAGGCTCACGAGACCAGACCCGCCAAGGACAAACTGCTAGGCCCCGCTGAGAAAAACCACACGCAGATGGCCACCTGAATAAGAACATTTCTGCTCCCACAAATACCACCAGCCCCTCCTATTTCTGAATGACCACCCAATGTCACAAAGGAAAATCCCCAGCTCTTCCCACCAAAAGTCCCTAGCCAAACGGTATAAAAGCCCTCACCCCCTTCAAACGGGGGTGACTTCTGGGGCCCCCTTTCTTGGGACCCCAGAAACTTGTCCAGGAGGGCATAATAAAGCCACATGGTTTGGTCCCCACTCTTTCTGTCTTCACCTCTGCCAAAAAACCTTACAAGGACCATGGCCCGGTGCCACTCCCAAGAAACCTTGAGCAAGTGGGCTCGTTGTGGCTGGGTTACAGTTTGGTTTTATACATTTCAGAGAGACAGGGGTTACAGGTAAAGTCATAAATCAATACATGAGAGGCATACATTGCTTTGGCACAAAAAGGTGGGGCATCTGGAAAGGGGGGGCCTACAGGTTATAGGTGGGTTTAAAGATTCTTTGGCTGGCAATTGGCTGAGAGAGTTATACTTTATCTAAAAGACTGGAAAGGAAATGCTTAATTTAAGATATGGGTGTGAGCGCTATGGGAGGTCCAGACAGGAGAATGTTTCAAGTTTAAGCTAGGCATCTGCTAGGACGCTTGAGTTAAGATGGGGGCTTTCTATCTTTTAGGTGATGTTAATGCTAGACTGGAATCAGGTTGGGAAGTAAACCACGCTTTATTTGGTTAACAAAAGGTGCTTAGTGGGAATTTACCATTTGTGAGCTTGACTCAGCTGGCCTCCTTAGGAAGGAGTTTTAAGCAAAAGGAAAAGATCAGAGTTCAGTCGTCAGGTTACAGTTTGGTTTTATACATTTCAGGGAGACAGGGGTGTAAGGCTGGTGGCAGGGGCCCCCCTCCCCTCCCTAGATGGAAAAAGAAAACGCTTAGTGACCTGACCTGCCAAGGACAAACTGCCAGGCCCCACTGAGAGGAACCATACCCAGATCTCCACCTGGATTCGCTCCTGGATTCCACAAATACCTCCAGCGCCCTCCTATTTCTCAATGACCATCCAAGGTCACAATAGGAGATCCCAGGTTTTCCTGCCACAAGTCCCTAGCCCCGCCCAAAGGGTATAAAAGGCCTCAGGCCCCTTTAAACTGTGCGACTTCCACCCCCCCGCCTCTTGGGGTCCCATAACCTTGTCCACTAGTGTATAATAAAGCCACGTGGTTTGGCCACCCACTCTTTCTCTTTCCTGTGCTCTTTTCTTTTCGCCACCGCCTAAAAACCTTACATTTGGGTGCCAAACCCAGGAAGGAGTCGTTGGCTGCTTCTGCCTGCCTCAGGGGGCGGTGGGTCCCCTCGTTTCTTCCAGACCTCTGGACCGGGACCTCCACTGGGACGCCAGTCGACCAATTGGGCCTGGGGTAAGTCCCTCTGCCCTTGGGCCTGTTCCTAGGGCCCCAATGAGTCCATTCCAGGAGTCTCTGTATCCATAGGCCCAAGTCAGAGATCCTCCACCATAAGACCTGAGGTGTCTCTTGGCGCGACGTCTGAGGCCCCCTCAGTCACAGTCCTTCCATCCGTAAGGATTTATAAGGACCTGAGTGTCTCGGGGACGCCTGAGCCCCTCAGTCCTTCCATCCGTAAGGATTTATAAGGACCTGAGTGTCTCGGGGACACCCGAGCCCCCTCAGTCAGTCCTTCCATCCGTGAGGATTTATAAGGACCTGAGTGTCTCGGGGACACCCGAGCCCCCTCAGTCCTTCCATCCGTAAGGATTTATAAAGGACCTGAGTGTCTCGGGGACACCCGAGCCCCCTCAGTCAGTCCTTCCATCCGTGAGGATTTATAAGGACCCGAGTGTCTCAGGGACGCCTGAGCCCCTCAGTCCTTCAATCCGTAAGGATTTATAAGGACCTGAGTGTCTTGGGGACACCCAAGCCCCTCAGTCAGTCCTTCCATCCGCAAGGATTTACAAGGACCTGAGTGCCTCAGGGATGCCTGATCCACTCAGTTGGCCCTTTCCAAGGCTCAGAGCCTTCTCTCCAAGGCCTGATCGGTGACCTGGGACGCCGCTCCCGATCTCCCCTCATTGGACTAGGACACCATGGGCAGTCAACCCTCCAAAATCAAGTCTAACATGCCTCTGGGCTGTCTCTTAGCCAGTCTTGCAACCCTGGGCCTCAAGTCTGATATTCGGCCCAAGCAACTCATTTTCTATTGTAACACCGCCTGGCCGATGTACAAATTAGGCAATGGGTCACAATGGCCTAAAAATGGGACTTTCAATTTCAAAATTTTACAAGATCTCGATAACTTTTGTCACCAAAATGGCAAATGGGAGATCCCTTATGTCCAGGCTTTCTTCCATCTGCGCTCCCGTCCTTCCCTCTGTCAGACCTGTGACCCGTCACAAATCCTCCTTGCACTGAGTCCTCCGCCGTCCTTGGCCTCTTCTACCTCTCAGCCGAAGGACCCGTTAGAAACCTCTTCCGCCTTCTCTGGCCCGCCTGACTCCCTTACCTCTCCCCCTGCTCAGCCTCCACCATATCTGGGTCCTCCTCCTCCTCCTACTCCTCCTAGTGCCCCACTGTCCTCTGCTACTGCTTGTGCTGGCTCTCTGCCAACGTCCCCTGTCAGTCACCACACTCGATCCCACGCAGGGCCCTCAGGCCAAACCCTTCTCTGTCCCCTGAGAGAGGTAGCCAGTGCCGAAGAGGTCGTGCACGTCCATGTTCCCTTCTCTCTTTCTGATCTCTCTCAGATTGAGAAGCGTTTAGGCTCCTTTTCTAACGACCCCACAGCCTACACCAAAGCGTTCCACGGTCTTACACAAGCATATGATTTGACCTGGCGTGATATTTTTGTCATTCTGGCTTCTACTCTTACTACTGATGAAAAGGAACGTGTCTGGACGGCAGCTCAGGGACATGCTGATCAAGTCCACCTAACAGACCGCACCGTGCCGGTCGGGGCCGAGGCTGTCCCACGCAGTGAGCCAGGCTGGGAATACCAGCCAGACCCC